TATGAAAGAAGGTAGAGTAGTCCACACTGAAAAAAAAGGAAATTAAAATAGGACTTGTTGCCTGGAGGCATGAGAGATGTGGTGGTAGAACCATGACTATACAGTTTAATTCCTGAAGTGCAAAGTGTACATGCATTTAATAAAATATTGCCTTTAAAGATTGTACTTTGAAATTCTTTTTGAATTTTATACAGTATATGAATTTGTTGTCAAAAATAAAATACATCCCGGCTGGTGTGGTTCAGTAGATTGAGCATCGCCCCATGGACTGAGAGGTCCCAGTTCAATTCCCACTCAGGGCACATGCCCTGGTTGCAGGCCCGATCCCCAGTAGGGGGCGTGCAGGAGGCAGCCAATCAATGTCTCACTCTCAAATCAATGTTTCTATCTCTCTCTCTTTCTCCCTTCTCTATATCTAAAAAATCAATACAACATATTTTATGCCCTGTCAACTGTTAAGAGTATCAGCCCATGGACCAAACAGTCATGGGTTCAATCCCAGTACCTCAGTTGCAGTTTGGACCTCAGCCCTGGTTGGGGTCATGTGGGAGGCAACCAGTTAATGTGTCTCTCTCACGTCAGTGTCTCCCCCCGCACACACACACTCTATCTGAAGATAAATGGGAAAATATCCTTGGGGGAGGATTTTTTTTTTAATTTTTTAAATAAATAACAATTTTTGAGAGATCGATGTTGTTTGTATAAAATTGTTCAATTTCCCCCTCTCCAAATCCTCGGCTTTATTGAACCAATCTCTTCCTTCAGTGACTGGCAGTGTTGATATGCCTGTCACAGCAATGCCTATCAAGGAAGTGCCAGCACAGGGCTGGTGCGTGAGCCTGCTCATCGGGTTTTCTGTGGAGCCCAGAGCCTTTCACACCAGCACCTAAGTGTTTAACCTATATTCTTATAGAATCGTGTGTATGTGAGAGAGTTCAAGAAATAAATATAATGCTACATTAATTCACTTTCTCCGGTTTGTCTAGCCAGACTCTAACTTCTATATTGTATTATACCATATAGGCCCAAACTCTGAACTCTGGACTCTTTAGTAAGCTAAAGAATGTTTTAGCCATTAAGCCCTGGCCCTTCTCTCTTTTAATTGTCATGGAAACAGTATTAGAAACAAACAAAATGTGGTATATTTATAAAGCAACCATTAAAAATCATGATTTCCAATAACAATGCAACACTGTAAATAGTACTCACAATATAACATTAAATGGATAAACAGCATATCAAGCAAACGTGAAGTCTGATATTATTAAAAGTTGATTAATATAAATTATTTAAAAACTTAAAAGAAAATTACTAAAATGTTTCCAGTGGTATTCTATATTTTGCTGCTTGTTTATTTTTATTTTTAGATTCACTTGTTGATAGATAAGTATTTATTGCCATTTTACTGTTCACATTTTGACCTTTTTTCTTCTTCTTAAAGAAGGCTCATTAACATATCATGTAATACTGGTTTGGTGGTGAATTCCTTTAGTTTTTTCTTGTCTGGGAAGTTCTTTATTTGTCCTCCTATTCTAAATGATAGCTTTTCTAGGTACAATAATCTTAGGTGTAGGTCTTTGCTTTTCATTGCTTTAAATATTTCCTGCCAATTCCTTCTGACCTACAAGGTTTCTGCTGAAAAATCAGCTGAGTCTTATGGGATCTACCTTGTAGGTAACTAACTGCTTTTATTTTACTACTTTTAAGATTCTCTCTTTGTCTTTAACCTTTTGATATTTTAATTATGATGTGTCTTGGTGTGGGCCTCTTTGAGTTCATCTTGTTTGGGACTCTCTGTGCTAATTGGACTTTTATGTATATTTCCTTCACCAAGTTAAGGAAGTTTTCTGTCATTATTTTTCAAATGGGTTTTCAATTTCTTGCTCTCTCTTCTCCTTCCAGTACACCATGGTGCGAATGTTGGTACTATGGAAGTTGTCCCAGAGACTCCTTACACTATCCTCCGTTTTTTATTCTTTTTTCTTTTTGCTGTTCTGATTGGGTGTTCTTTACTTCCTTATATTCCAAATTGCTGATTTTATTCTCAGCTTCATCTACTCTACTGTTGATTTCTTGTAAATTATTCTTCATTTTAGTTAGTGTATTCATTTCTGCCTGGTCCCTTTTTATGCTCTTGAGGTCCTCACTAAGTTCCTTGAGTATCCTTATTACCAGTGTTTGGAATTCTGCATCTAGTAGATTGCTTGTCTCCATTTTATTTAGTTCTTTTTCTGAGTTCTGTTCTGTTCTTTCATTTGGGATGTGTTTCTTTGTCTCTCTATTTTGGCTGCTTCCCTGTGTTATTTCTATGTATTAGGTAGAGCTGCTGTTTCTACTGAGCTTGTTAGAGTAGCCTAATGTAGTAAGTGTTTTGTAGGGTCCAGTGGCACAGCCTTCTGATAACCTGAGCTAGGCCCTAGAGCCGCTGTGTGAACTGTGTGCACTCTCTTGTAATTGAACCTTAATTGCTGTTGATGTGTCAGTCACAGGTATTTACCCCCACGTCTATCAGCTGTAAGGACTGGCTGTGACCACTGACCTCTGATTACCATGGAGGATCAGCTGTACAGGGGCCCACGCCACACAGTAGTACTTAGTTCAGCAGGGCTTTGGCACCACTGAGTTCACACCTTGAGCATGTCTCTTGTGGAGGTGGTTGGGTGGAGGTGCTTTAATGTGATCTGAAACTGTCCACTGGGTGCACTGGCTCTAGGGCCTCCCTATAGGTGCAGGCCAAGGTCAGCTGCCACCTGTGTTCTGCCCAGGGCCACCTGACATGAGCTACAGAGCTATCTTTACATGCTGCTGCTTGTGCTGGGCTTGGAGGTGCCAGGTGAGGCCAAACTATGAACCAAGGCCAGCTGCCTCTAGTGCTGAGCCTGGGGCTACTTAGCGAGAGGTATGGGACACACAGACCAATTGCTACTTGTTTGAGAGAACTTAGGAAAATCTGAAGCATGAGCCAAGACAGGCTATGTGTATGGAAAAGCCACTGGAAACAGCTTGGGTTGGGTATGGCCCCAGGAAATCACCAGGACAGGGCAAACAGTGAGCCAGGTTAATGGAGTCTCGGATATGATGCCCACCTACTAGCCATGTGAGGAGAGGGGGTTCATCAAAAGAACAGTGAGTGGCCTCTGCCAGCACCTCTGTCTGAGAGAAAGCTACCCCCACCCCAGCTCTTGCCTTGATGCCAGACCATGCATTTCCTCTCTGTATGTCCTTGGTGCCTTTCAAGCCACTGTCCCTGCACTGGAGCTCAGAGGGAGTGAGTCCAAGTAAGTCTGAGCATGGGCCCTATAAGAGGAACTGCCTAGGAATCTAGCCAGCCCTCTGTCTCCCTCAGTCTCAGCCACCACTGGTTTTCACAGCCAGAAGTTATGGGGACTTTTCTTCCTGGCACTGGGACACTGGGCAGGGGCTGGGGGGATGTTGTGCGGCTAGGACCCCTCACTCTTCAGGGGTGACCTCTACAGCCGAGATATCCCCCCAGTGTTTAACCGCCACATGTGTGTGGGACCAGCGCATTCCACATCTCCCCTCCTACCAGTCTCCTTGTGGCTTCTTCTTTAATTCCCTAGTTATAGGACTTCCATTCAGCCAAATTTCAGGTGGTTCTGAATAATGGTGGGTCTGTAGTTTGGTTGTAATTTTGATGTGGTTGTGGGAGGAGGTGAGTACCGCATTTACCTATGCCACCACCTTGACCAGAAGTCCTCCGATTGTATTCTTGATGGAATGTCTATAGGCTGTTTTGTCTTTTATAGTTCTTCCCTATATTTTTCTGAGTAAAATATGTCTTGATTTCATAATTAAAATATACTATTATTTTTTAAACTCTGAGAAAGGAAAGCAGCAGGAGCAGTCCCCGAGGAGGCCAGGGAGGAGTCGGTGTCACTGCTGAAAGTAATACCAGGCCTTGTTTCTGTTGATTGACTACTATTGAGCTCCTTATTCATTAGGTAGGTCAGTGGTGTCCTGTTGATGAAAATGCCAGCCCAGTGACATGCAACAGGTGCAGACCTCTGCCTTGTGAGCCTTGGGAACACTTTGAGAATTGCCAGAATTTTAGCCATGTTTTGCAGCCCTCACAGCTGCTGTGTATCAAGAAAATGCTGCTCTAACATTTCGGTGTCCTGAGATCTGGCCCAACTGTTTCTAAACACCCCGGGCTTTGACCAACTACCAAGTACCTGACCAGACTACTGTCATGAGAGCTGTTAAGTGAAATTCTAGGGCAGAAGTCACCTGTCATTTAGTATGTGTTCCGAAGGGAGTTAAAGGAATAGTTGTTCCAGTTGTTCATCTAGGGCAAAGGGAATATGAGAGAGAGATTGAGAGAGATTCAAGAAAAACAGAGTCAGTGTTACAACTGAGAGAATTTTAGAGTCCTTGGCTGTGAGTCAGGTATTTGGTGTTATGTAAGGATTTATCAATCACTGTTTAAAAAGAATATCAGATAGCTTCTGTGAAATGAATGAGGGGAGCTTAAGCCAGGATGAGGCAGGTTGGTAATGAATTCAGTCATCACATCTCTTGGCCAAGGAAAACATGCACCTTCTCTAGAGACAGACTTTTTCTTCCATTCTTGGAGATGGAGGAACACAAAGTATATGTTGTCCAGACTTTCAGATGAGCAAATTTCACTAGCACTTTTTTTGTAACCCACTCATAAATAAATGGAAGAGAAACTGTGAGGTAACTAGAGTCTGTATCAGCAATGTCATCTCTGTAAAAACAAGTCAGTCCTGTGCTTCATCCCCTGCCAAAGTATGGAATTTAGTCTTGCATTGATACACTAAGCCATCGCCCCCTACCCGTCTCACAGGGTGGTGGGTGGGTGTGACACTAAATGTGCAAGTATGTGGAACTGTGTCTTTTTATAATCCAGAAGATTTTAATAGTGACTTGGTCAGTTTTCTTTGACTTGGGAGGCATAAAGATATTTGAATTTCTCCTTTCAGAATGACCTTGACTTTTCTCATTTTTTTCCACCATAGATCATCCAGCCCCTCTTAGAACTTGACCAAAATAGAAGCAAATTAAAATTGTATATTGGACACCTGACAGCCCTCTGCCATGACCGAGACCCCCTGATCCTTCGTGGGCTCACTCCACCAGCTTCCTATAACTTGGACGATGACCAGGCAACTTGGGAGAATGAGCTGCAGAAGATGACCCAGGAACAGGTAAGTCACTGAAATTTGATAAGAAAGACCCTATGAAAATTCAGCGTCTGCGTAGATTGATGCAACAGGAGCTACCTTGGGGAATTTAGTGCTCATATTCAAGATTCTTAGCCACAGTTAATTCTTCATCAGCTATTAGGAATTACCATTTGAAGGAAGTGCTCCTTTGTTCTTCCCCCAGTATAACTTGCTCAAGTATCAGAAAGGGCTAATTTAGCAGGAAGAGGGTTAAGGACAGGCTGTTCACATGCCCTACATTATTTCATAGAAGTGATGGCCACTGAAGAAAAGTCTGAGGGTAAGGATCTCTCTCTGACAAGTCAGCAGCAGGTATCTTCACTTGTCTCGAGGGAACTGTGGATTACAACATACTGCGTTTTTAAGAAAAGAACCATTAGATGAATTAGTTTATTACTCCCCCCATGCTGTATTTTCTGTTCACTGTTGCCTATAAAATTCCACTGATTCTCTTTTTTCATGTTATGATTTTTGTTGTTGTTGCTGTTCAATAAGTAAATGAGAAGGTTAGTCTGGAGACAAAAAAAAAACTATGAATAAAAGAAACAAAGACCCCTGGCCGGTTTTGCTCAGCGGTTGGAGCGTCGGCCTGTGGTCCAGAGAGACCCAGGTTCGGTTCCCGCTAAGGGCATGTACCTCGGTTGCAGTTGGTCCCCGGCCCTGGTTGGTTGTGTGGGTGGCAACCACTCAATGTGTCCCTTTCACGTTGATGTTTCTCTTTCTCTCTTTCTCTCTCTCTCTCTCTCTCTCTCTCTCTCTCTCTCTCTCTCTCTCCCTCCCACTCTATCTGAACAAAAAATTGAAAATGTCCTCTAGTGAGGATAAAAAAAAGAAAAGAAAAAAAAAAACAGAGAAAACAGGATGAACATAGAGATAGAGAGCAGACATGGAAAGTGAAAGAAAGAAAAAGTGAATAAACACACAGAAATAGAAAAAGAGAACAGTTTCTAAAACATTAATTCTAAGTTCCTTTTGTTTCTGATTTAAGTGTTGTAAATTTACTAAAACTCTTCATCAGAATTTTGAAGCTGTATACTGTTTTTCAGCCAAATGGTTTCTATTTGTTAAGCATTATTTGTTACTTATAATACGTGAAGAAAATTGTGTTTAATACAAAACCTACCACCCTGGCTGGTTTGGCTCAGCAGATAGAGTGTCGGCCAGCGAACCAGAGAGTCCTGGGTTCGGTTTCTGCCAAGGGAATGTACCTCAGTTGAGTTTGTCCCTGGTCCGGTTGGGGTCGTGTAGGTGGCAACCACTCTATGTGTCTCTCTCACATCGATGTTTCTCTCTCTCTCTTCCTCCCTTTCTCCCTCCCACTCTATCTGAAGATAAGTGCAAAAATGCCCTTGGGTGAGGATAAAAAAGAAAGAAAGAAAAACCTCCCATGGTGTGATGTTAAAGATAGCAGTGATAACTCACAGATGGAGAAATGCAAACTGAAATCTAAGAGCTGCACTTACTTCCCCATGGTGTGTGTATTGCCTAAATAACAGGCATACTTAACAGCCCAGTTAGTTATCCACCTCATTCATTTGACGTGAAAAAATACTGCCTACCTCTCAAATTTAGGATGTTGCTGTAGAAATTTTAATGTTTTTTCTTTTTGAAAGAAGAAAAGTATAAAGGACAGAATTAAATTGAATCCCAATAGGTCCTTTTGATATGAATAACCATGCACTGGAAATGCAGCTGAAAACCCACTGGAAACAGAAAGCCTGATGGGTTAATTTTAGAAGCTTTTACTTTGAAATTTTGCAGAAAGACACTGCTCCTTAAAACACCAATAGTGATGTATCACAGCTTAATTAGCCTTAAATTATTTCTTTGTAAAACAGCTTGTCTTTGAAATGGAAAACACTTTGTTTTTGTTTTTCTTTTTTGCTCAGTTCTCTTTTTCAATATGTCTACATGGACTGACTTAGTTTTCTTTTAAAAAAAATATTTTTATTGATTTTGGGGGGGTGGAGAAAGTGGGGGGGACAGAGATAGAGATGTGAGAGCACAACATTGATCAATTTCCTGCATGCCCCCCACTGGGGACTGAGCCTGCACCCCGGCTTGTGCCCTGACTGGGAATCAAACCAGCAATCTTCTGGTACACGGTACAATGCCCAACCAACCGAGCCACACCGACCAGGATTTAACTCAGCTTTCTAAGGGGAAAAATTATCTTCAGGGTGAGACCAAGACAGGAAATTTCAAACCAAGAACTTTTTAGAAAGTTTGGAATGAATGAAACCAGGAATTCATGAACAGACTTACCATTGCACATTATTTTACAATCACGCTACTATAGTCCTCAAAACAATGTTGCTTACTTGCATGAATTGTGGTAATATTGTCATGGTTCTCCTTGAATGAGTTTATGCTTCAGTTAACTGAAGTTACTACTTGAGGTGTGTGGAATAGTTATCCTCATCAGTATTCCCTGGGAAACAAGTGACTTAGGTCAGCTGTAAAGGAATACAGCAACTACCATCACCTTCTGTAAGCTTCTCTATAGCTGCTGGAGATTGTTAGAGAAAACAACCAATAGTCTGTCTCCTTACCCAAGAAGGAATTTAAGGGACTAACTAGGCTATTGAGAAAGATGATGTCTAATAATACAAAATGATTTGCCTGTGAAAGTATTGTGATCAAGGTTTGACTTTAGTTTTTGAAGCCCAAGAAACATAAAATATGAATCACTGCTAAATATGCATAGTGGTTTATTTTGTGTGTGTGTTCTGTTTATATTTTTCTTTGGGGGATGTAGAGCCTTCTGTGACATGTGCATTGTTCAACTCTGATGTCCAGTGTATCTCACTGCTACCATGCTCCCCCAAGTGGCACCCCCATGAGGACAAGGCACGAGCCTTGTCTATCCTTTTGAATCCTGTATCCTCTGTACCAAGAACATGCCTGTAGTATAGTATCTATTCAATAAATATTTGTTGAATGAATAAAAGAGAGAGGAAAGCAGGCAGATAGGATAAAGTTCACATTCTTTATCACACACTACCTTCTTTCTTAAATGCAGTTCCTTTCTACCCTATCCTTGAAGTATATCCAGCCACTTACAGTTTTTTAAACTGTAAGTTTAAACTACTTACAGTTTTCCTGTTTCTGTCCTTTTGTTCATACTGATCATTCTGCCTGGAGTGCCCACCCCTGCCTTGTCTCCCAAGGTAATACCTAAATAAGAATCTGAGTTTTTAAACTCAGCTCAGAAATGACTTCTGTGCATTTTTTTTTCCCTGAAACCTAGGTTCATGATGCTGCTCCCTCTTCAGGGCTTCTGTAGTACCCATAACACTTACACTTCTTATCTTCCTGTGTATTCCCAGTCTCAGCTCTCTGTCTGTTGAGGACATGAGCCATATCATTTTAATCTTAAAATTAGCACATCACGTACTTGTTACTTGCTCAGTAGTTTAAATGAGTGAATGAAATCTAGTGAGTTTATTATTTTGTATTTCATAATTTGTGATTCTTAATGCTCCATCTAGATAAGTTTCTTAACTGCCAGAACCATGTCTTGTATTTCTAAAGTGCCTAGCGTACTACTACGCAGGTAGAGAATGCTTCATTATTCAGCTGATTATTTATTTGGCAACTCAAGACAGTTCCTTCAGTGCCATTTAGTAGCTTTAGATAATCTGATTATTGATGTCAGGAACCACTCAGACTTCATCCTGCCCTATGATCTGAAACTGCCTGGCCTCTAGAAATATAACCTGAATGCACTTAATGCTGAAGATTTCCCAGAATTGTTTTGTTTCCTTTGCCTTCTTAGAAAGTGGCTACCATACCAACTAAACTTATTAATTTGTTTAATTTTCTCACCTTATCTCTTTTTGCTTTGTGTGCCTTAAAGCTCTGTTATTGACTGCATACTCATTAAAGATTGTTATGTCTTTTTGATAAAATGGACTCTTATTATTATGTAATGTCTTCAAAGCTGATACTATTTCATGCTCTGAAATCTGCTTTGCCTGATATTTAATAGAACCATTCCATCTCTCTTTAAATTAGTGAGTACATGATCAGTCTTCTATATATTTGCTTTTAAGCTGTGTCTTTATACTTAAAGTATAAAGCTCAGAGGGCACAGGTCTAGGAGGCCAGGCTGCCACCTAGGGCCAGAGGGTTGGAGCAGCCTCCCCAGAGGGCTTGGAGGACAGAGCACCCAAAGAGGATTATTCTTGAGCCTTAAAATCGAATGAAATGTGCCCTGCTTGGTTTTATACTTGATTGAAATTTATGATCCCTTTCTCTCATCTTTTCAGTTTCTCCTTTTTGGAATGGAAATGTCTAGTCTATGTCTGTTTCACCATCATAGTTTAGAAGTAGGTAACTTGTCTGGTTTCCGTAGGTTCACATCTAGAAAAGAATTTTGCCTCAGGGTGACTTTGAGTCTCACCCATACTTATTTAGATGAGATTTGGAATTTAGAATTGATACTGGAATGGGTTAAGGCTTTTGGACTTTGGGAACGGGAGTGAATGTGTTTTGCATATGAGAAGGACATGAATTTGGGGACTACAGAGCATGGGCTAAATTGTGACACCCCCCACCCCCACCAAAATTCACATGTTGAAGCCCTAAATTCTAGAATGTGGCTGTATATAGAGATAGGGCCTATAAATGAGGTTGAGAGGCTGGCCCTAATTTAATCTGACTGGTGTCCCTATAAGAAAAGAAGATTAAGACATACATAGAGGCACCAGGGGTGTATGCTCACAGAGAAAAAACCACGTGAGGACACAGCAAGAAGGCAACCACCTATAAGCCAAGTAGAGAGGCCTCAGAAAAAAACCAACCCTACCAATACCTTAATCTTGAACTTCTAGCTTCAAGAACTGGGAGAAAATAAATTTTTGTTGTTCAGCCACATAGTTTATGGTATCTTGTTATGGCAGCTCTAGCAAAATAACACACCTTCTTTTTGAAAGTTACTCTAAGTATAGAATTCTAGGTTGAGTTTGGTTTTGTTTTTT